TCACAAATAAATGACTTATAATGGAGAAATAAATTACCTTATTTTTTTCTCAGTTCATGAGTGGGTGGTATTCTACAAATCCTGCAATCTGATTGGTTATGAGAGCAGGCAGTATTCACCCCATCTGGCCCGCTCACAGTGGGCGGTATTCATTTTGCTTGAGTCACTTTGCAGAACATCTCAAGCTTTGTTGCAATTTTTCACAGATTTATCTCATTTTGTCAGCTGGGCAGAATTATATAGCAGACTTCGGTCATGACCTTTTGGCGATAAATAATATTAATTCTTTCTTTTCTCTCGCTCTCAAATCACTTTGGTTTTTTTGGCAAAAATTATTTCAAAATAAATTCTGTGGTACTACATTTGCTTATAAAAAGATTGAAACGCGGCCTAGAAACAATTTGTTAATTAATAATCCTTCACAAAAAGTAACTTAGAAAATTAAAATGAAAATAGATGCAGTTAATGACTACACTAATCAATGTGACTCTCAATCGTTAACACCTGAATTCTTTAACACAATTTGTTTATTTTTGAAACATTGAGCAAAGTTTTGAGTTCTATAAATACTCTTTCGCCTATCCTTTGCAATTCCCTTGAATTTGGACATTTCAACCGTAAATTTCACAACAGTAACGAAGGAATTCGATGAACAAAAGTCGCATTAAATCCCATTGTGTCTAGCTGAAAAGAGTCTCATTGACTTCAGCTTTTCAGTGGAAGAAAAACCGATTTACACGCACCATTACAGAAAACAAACAAGCAGACTGACAACTCCAAAACACACATTTGCATTCACCTACAATTTGACTTTCCGTGACATTTTAAGACGGAACAGAGGTAAATCTTCAAAGATTAATTGTCATTGGAAATAAACAAAACTTTTCCTAAGATCTCTGAGTATTTTTTTTTTTACGAGAAGATCGTTGCATAGTCATTTAGCTTGTGAGTGTTTGTCATACCAGTACTGTTGTTTATTTAAACGCATACGCTTTTTCTCTTCAATTGACAGGTGTCACATTATGACAATTACTTATCAAAAAAGTTTCAAAGTTTCCTCAGAAGCCTTTTAAGTTACCTTTACAAATAAAAATGTTTCGGAGAAAGCTTTCTCTTTTTTTATTTTTTTTTTTGGGATAACGTCTGTTATCTTTATCATCCACTCGCTAATAAATTGTTAAGTTTATGGAGGATTTTCCCGTAATTAAACTCTTAATTGTAGCCCTAAATCATCTGGGGTATTATGGCAATCATTTTTTTATGTGTAAGAAAAAAATAAAAATGTTATTGACCAGCATTGGTCGGTTCGTATTGGGAAAAACTGTGCTCGAGGTCTTGGATACCGCCCGAGGCCGTGGGCCGAGTGCGGTACTCAAGACAGTGGGCACAGTTTTTCCCAATACGGACCGACCTATGCTTGTCAATAACATATATATATATATATATGAAATACCCTGCCAGCTTTTCAGAGCCCAGTTAATAAAACATGGAAAATGGAGTTTGTTACTATCAGCACGCCTCGCTCTTGAAGGTTTCGAGGTTTGTTTGTTGAATTATAATAAGTATTTGTCTCAAGACGAGTCTAAAGTAATTCATAATACCTTTTATCATGAAAGCTGGAATAGTAGAATAAAGGGTCCCAAATTTAACGCATATCAGTGACATGTACCAAGTTGTAGATAAGTACAGTGCAACCGCCATCTTGAATGTGTGCTTAGTGACCGCTTACTCTAAGATGCCCAGCCACCCTCCCTGCCTTTGTGGCACCTTGCTGGTGTAGGTAATCTTGATGTTGTGAAAATGTTAATCAAACAAAATGCAAACTTCGAAGCTCGAGTAACAATAAAGGCTGCAGACGAAATTTGGGAGGGTTTGACACCTTTGTGGTACGCTGCTTTTTCGGGTCACCTCGACGTTGTGAAAGTGTTGATCAAACAAGAAGCAGACATTGAAGCTCGAGCAACTATAAAGACTGGAGACGAAATTTGGGAGGGTTTGACACCTTTGTGGTACGCTGCTTTTTCGGGTCATCTCGACGTTGTGAAATTGTTCAGCAAACAAGAAGCAGACATTGAAGCTCAAGCAACTCGAAATACTGGAAACGAAATTTGGAAGGGTTTGACACCTTTGTCGTCCGCTGCTGTTTCTAGTCGTCTTGATGTTGTGAAACTGTTAATCGCACGAAACGCGGATATTGAAGCTCGAGCGACAAAAAAGATTGGAGACGAGGTTTTCGAGGGTTGAACACCTCTCTGGCTGGCTACTGATACAGGCAATCATGATGTCGTGGAACTGTTAATCGACCTAGGTGCAGACATTGAAGCTCAAGGAACTTTTAGGAGCAACGATGCTAGATCAATTTACGAGAGTTTTACACCTTTGTTGGCCGCTGTTTCTTCAGGTAATAACGATCTTGTACAACTTTTAATTAGAAGAAATGCAGACATCGAGGCTCGAGGCTCGTGTAAACTTGAAAATGAAGTTGTTCAGGGTTGTACACCGCTTTTACCCGCAGCTATTGAAGGTCAACCTGATATTATAAAACTGTTAATCGAACGAAATGCAGATATTGATGCTCAGGGGACACTTAACGTGGAAGGAAAAGTTATCGAGGGTTATACACGTTTGTTAGCCGCTGCTATCAAGGGTCATCTCGACGTTGTTAAATTGCTTATAGAACGAGATGCAGAAAGAAGATGTAGCAATGTTGAAGGGCAACCACGAAAAAGAGTTGAAAAGCGGAGAGAAATGGACTAGCAGTTGACAACTATTCAAGGGCAACTACCAGATAAAGATGAGCTATTCAGAGAAAGCGCACAACAGCTAGCAAATGTTCAGGGGCAGCTACATGAGAAAGATGAATCACTGACAGAGAACACACAACAGTTGACAAACGTTCGAGGGCAGTTACATGAGAGAGAGGAGCAACTGAGAAAGAGCACACAGCAGGTGACTGATGTTCAGAGGCAGCTACGAGAGAAAGATGAGCAACTGAGAGAGAGGACACAGCAGTTAACAAATGTTCAGGGGCAACTACGAGAGAACGATGAACAACTGAGAGAAAGAACAAAGCAGTTAATAAGTATACAGGGGCGACTACATGAGAAAGATAAGCAACCTGGAGAGAACACGCAGCAGTTAACAAATTGTCAGGGGCAACTACGAGAGAAAGATGAACAGATGACAGAAATGGCATCGCTATTGACTAATGTCAGAGGACGACTGCATGAAAAAGATGATCAGATCGCTAATTTGCAAGAATTAGTCAATTCCTTGCTGGACCAACAAAGGGTGAAAGAACAGGAAATAAATGAACTTGAAATAACTCTCTCAGAAGCTCAGCAAACCCTAATCGAATGTTCGCGCAAACATTCACCCGACTGGATCATATCACGGGATCAAATTTAGGTCACGGACACATACCTCGGCGAGGGAGCCTGGGGAAGAGTTGTCGAAGGGAGCTTACGAATCGATGACTTTCCAGAGGACGACGAGGTCTCAAAACTAGAAGTAGTTTATGCGTATGCGCTACCAGGTGTGGCATTATTTCGTGCGTCATCTTGAAGGAGGTGACGACTTCAGAAGAGCTGTTTTGAAGTCGTCTTCGCAGCAACGCGTCGAAAGGTGCGTTTTGTTCGGAATATTTGCTGAATCTAACGCTTAATCCCCAGACACCTTCCAAATATACTAACGGGAGCTTTCCAGTGAAACAGTTTTTCTTGAATGTTATTTACGCCATATCTCTTATTTATCAAACAGGAAAGAGGTCAAACGGCGAAAACAATGACTCAAGCCCTTCAAACGCACAGTGAGGGAATGAATAAAAAAAGGAATTGGCGTGTTAAGGTCAATTCACAAGAGAGATAAACTGCAAAAGAAACTATAGTCTGATTCATTCAAAAGTTTTAAGATTTTATCCATTCACTGGCTATAAATCAGTTTTGAATAGTAATCAAATGTTCTTTAAACGGTTACGAGTAGTCACAAGATGCAAACTGAAACAAGCGATGTGAAGATTCAGTCCGGATATACGAAAGATTTTGTCAAGGAATCGATCCAACCACTAGTCCGTTGAAAGTAACAATCTCATCCGGTAACTGAAGAAAATCAGCAAGCTTGAAAATGTCATTTTTGTAAAATCGAAATTCAGCTTTGTACTGGTCATTTCCCAGCTCGTCTAAATCGAATCGATCATACTTCTAGTACCGAAAGTCTCGGTTTTTTGAAGTATTGGCATCATACAGCAAAGTAAACTGCCTGTCGGTGATAAATCCTTTTCTGTAGGCATATGCGATATACTCTCTGTTCTCTCTGAAGTTCGGCATTTTAATCAACACGTTAAAACTATCTAAATAAAAAAAGTCAGTCTGCGACTTCAATTTGGCGGGAAATCTCTGCGTCGACGTCCGCAGCTCGTAAGTTAAAGTTGGCGCGCAATGCTCGCGCAATGGCAAACGGCAACGACGAAGTCGATGACGTCACATAAAGTTGTCGTCGAGAAAGAAGTCATCGATTCGTAAGCTACCTATTGTGGCTGTACCGTCGCCGTCAAGCAGATTCACGCTTTGATTCCTTCTGATCATAACCGTGAAATGTTTGAGCGAGAAATAAACGTTGCTTCACGCTGCCACTATCCTTGTTTACTTCAGTTCATTTGTGCAACAAGAGAGGAAGAGAGTCCTTTGTTCGTAACAGAGCTCATGGAATCAAGTTTACGAGCACTGTTACGACAGCGACCTCTTTCTCTAACTGAAGTGTCTGTCCTTTCTCTGGACGTGGCTCGAGCTTTAAACTACCTTCATCAAAGGAAACCATCCCTCATCATTCGCCGCGATGCGACATCACCAGCGCCAATGTGTGGCGTCTATGGCGACAAGGTGACCAGTGTCGGATTATGGCACATGAATAAAGGCTAAAAATTTCTAAAGAAACTGTGGTACTGCGTCGGTGGGGATAACAATGTAATTAGGGTTATAACAACTCAGTCGAAATGTGTAAATTGGCCACCGTAACAAATAAAAAAGTTGACGTTTCGAGCGTGGGCCCTTCGCTGACGAAGGGCCCACGCTCGAAACGTCAGCTTTTTTAGTCGTTACGGTGGCCAATTTACACATTTCAACTGAGTTGTTATAACCAAATTGGATTACGGCATAGCCAAGTTTGTGCAGCGAACCATGACAGCTTGTCTTGGTGCTAGGATATACAGTGCACCAGAGGCTCTTACTAGGAATCAGACTGTGAAGGTATGTCTGATTTATGTTTTTCATTGTTATATTTTAAGATATGGAAGCGTGCCTCTGTGATATCCGCAGCTGGACGATCAATGACAAACTCATGATCAATGATTTCAAGACTGAGTTTATGCTCATTGAGACAAAGGCGCAGCTACAGAAAACTAAAAGTGCTACTTTAACTATTGGCGAATCCATCATTGAATCTTAGTGAAGCAAGATGGCGACTTACACGTGTTGGTATGAGCTGCTACTTTTCGCTCTTTTCACTCTTGGAGGATTCGGTTCTGGTCTCGCATACTTATCTCCCACCAAATATATATGTGCTGGAGCTAAGGACATGGGTAATGTTTCTACCCAGCTTCAGTTCTTTGGTTCTTTGAGCTCATGTCTGCATCGTCAAAATTACATGCGAAGAAGCAAGAAGGCATACCTCGGACGGCGTGCTTTGTACTATAGTAACAGTACTGCTACGACTCAGCTATTACTGTTGAAGCTATCTGGAAACGTGGAGTCTAATCCCGGCCCTCAGGGGCCTCAAGGAAGTTTTAATAATTCTTCTAAAACACTTTGTAGTAATTGTGCTAAAACCATGAGAAGGAACCAAAATGGCGTCCGCTGCTCGTCTTGCCCGGCAGTATTCCACATCAAATGTACGAAAATGAGCAAGAACGAGCTGTCCTGCTATCGGAGAGAAGGGATCTGGTATTGCTTTTCTTGTACGATGCCTCAGTTTTCTGACAGCTTCTTTGATGATCTCTCACCTTCGGCGGCATGCGATTCAAGCTCCACTGGCGAGGTTTTTGAGATTGCGGAGGAACATTCAGGAGACTCTGTTGACTGGTTTTTTAGGAACGTCAATG